GGGGGGGGGGGGGGGGGGGCAGACCCCTCCTCGGGAAGCATATAATGCATTCCAATTTATAAGTGAACATCATATTATTCTAAACTTGGACTTCTCTCTTGAGCTTATCTGATCTTAATTGCATATGTAATATCCTCCCAAATAGTTTTCTTCTTCTAAATTTTAGTAGTATCATGTTTTCCACTGTAATATAAAGAAACAAAATTTATGAGTTAACTTAGTTACTACTTAGGGTTTTCACTATTCTTTAAGGGGAAGAGAAATTTTCCAGGGTTGTGGGTAGATTTTAGAGAAGGAAAAAGAATGATGGAAGAGAGAAATGAAACAGATGGGAAAATAGATGAAATGATGCTACCAGGGTTTCGTTTTCATCCAACTGATGAAGAGTTAGTAGGGTTTTATCTGAGGAGAAAGATACAGCACAAAGCTCTCTCCATTGAGCTTATTAAGCAACTTGACATCTATAAGTTTGATCCATGGGATCTTCCAAGTAAGAAAAACTTAATTTTATTCGTATGCTTTCATTTTATCTTTGTTTAATCATTCCGTGTCCAGAACTACTGGCCCGGCTAATCCAGATTCGCGTCGTAAAATACTATGGATTTCAGCTCACTTTCTAATCCAGATTCATATGCTTTGTAGTTTGTATATTTCTCTTTTTGTTCACTTTCTTTATCTTGTTACCTTTCTTAAACAGAGTTGGCAACTATTGGAGAGAGAGAATGGTATTTCTTCTGTCCAAGGGATAGAAAGTACAGAAATAGTACAAGGCCAAATAGAGTAATTGGGGCTGGTTTTTGGAAAGCCACAGGAACTGACAGGCCAATCTACTCTTCTGAAGGTTCAAAATGCATTGGCTTAAAGAAATCACTGGTTTTCTACAAAGGTAGAGCAGCTAAAGGAACTAAAACTGACTGGATGATGCATGAGTTTCGCTTGCCTTCCATCACTGACTCTACCACACCAAAGAGATTTTTGGACAAAAATATGCTTCCTAATGTAAGCTTCATTTTTAGTTTTTTCTTTTTTCTAATTTTTGTTATGCCAAATCATACAAAATTAGATAAGATTAGAAATGAGGGAGAAGTTACGTTTATTTGAAATACAATTTTGTCATATCCTAAGTCGATCTCAAGGCACACTAGTTTGTATGTGTCAGACCTACGGTAATTGAAGGTGTTAAAAAGACACGAGATAACCTTAAATCACATATAAAGACAGTTATCTTGAAAGACTTACAATCATATGAAATTAACTTAGCGAGAAAAGGTGATATCAATCAATTGATTAGTTCACTATGAGTCTTTTATTCGTGTTAACTAAAGGCATGTAGTCACCAGAAAATGTGAATAACTTCTAGTATAGAACCTAGATCTTTAGATATTGGATTTCTATAGGGTCTAAATGGAGAAACATGGTCAGTGAGAAATGAAGATTCATATAGTCTAACTCAAACTAACTTTGTATCGATCGAGGCCTAGTTATTGTTTGCATTTTTATCTTTTTGTGGGGGTTATTTTATTAATGTAATTGTGAATATTTTTCTTGGACTTTTTTCAGGACTCATGGGCAATTTGTAGGATTTTCAAGAAAGCTAACTCCAACGCACACAGAGCTCTTTCTTATTCTTGGGTGTCCCCTCAAATATCCTCAAATACCACACCACACTTTCAAACAAGTAACCACTTCACTCCAAATGAAATGTCATTCATAGCCAAAAGTGCAAGTTCAGCCATCCAATTTAGTAATGACTTACAAAACTCATCCATGGCTAGCTTCTCTCCAATAGATTTACCTCCTTATAGAACCATAAATCCAATGACTACTAGTCATAGCCATCCTCAACAAATTTCCATCTCAAACCATGACTCCACCACAAGTTATACACTCTCTAATTCATATACCAACCTAAATATTGATGCTTCTTCTTTGCTACTAAACATGTCATCCTCCATACTTGGAGATTATAACAACTTTTCAATCACATTACCAGAGAATCAAATTCAAGAAGCAGGAAATTTGGTGAAAGAATTACCAAATGTGAATGTGGATCATATGCAAGAACAGTGGGGAAATGTTAGATCTGTTATTGGATTTCCCGTTAATGCTGATATTGATGCATGGAATAAGTCAAAGTTGCTATGGGATTCTTCACCTTGTCCTAGTGAAATGTCCACTAGTTATTCTACTAATTAATTAACAAGTGTTACACTTGACCCCTTAATTAGCTACTAATCCCTAGTCATGTTTTGTTTCCAAGTTTTAAGCATTATGTTTAGCTTTTCTTTCTTATGTCTTTTCCTTTCCTTTTTAGGGGCTATTTGAATTCATTTTAGTTTTTAGCTTAACTATGTGAAAATTTTAATGTAGGCTTTAAAACCTGAGTCTGGACTAATCAAATCATTTCCTGTAAGGTTTTAGCTAAGAGTAAATATCTTTTTGCTTTTACGGCAGTTTCTTTTGTTTGTCTTATCCTTTCTAATTCTTCTCGTCCTTGCCTTCTTTTCTGAATTAAATAATGTTTTACATATAGCCATCGCACGTGGTAACCCTTAAACTTTTGCGAGTTTTACAAGCAAGTTAATAATCATGTATATATATTAAAATGTCCAATATTATTTCACAACCAAAATAGCCTGCCTATCTGAGATGTTGTTTTCTTAATGATCATTTAAATGCATAGTTACCATTTTGTCATGTAAATGAACACTCAAATTCAGTTCAATCATATACGTTGACAGTGTAACGACAATCATATCATCTTTACCTATTGTACTTATGACTCTATGAACCTATCTTATTTTCAGTATGACAAATTTCACCTTCATGGGGAGTTACATGAAGAAATCTTTTAGATGACCTAAAGTTAATCATTTGAACCTATCTATCAAGTTGATTATGAAACAAATCAAGAACTATGAAAAAAGCTCAGGTCAACTTGTTAACAAGAACAGAAGTCTTTTCTTGACAACTCCTTAGACAGCCGCCAACAGGATTAACAGAATTTGAGAGTGCTATGGTTTTATGGACAAGCAATTCCCTTTCAATTATCTTGGTTGTTCCCTTTATGTCGGCAGAAAGAAGATTGAATACTTTGATAATATGGTTAGTAAGGTGGTTAAAAGGCTTACTGGTTGGCAGGGTAAGCTACTATGCGGTGGCAAGATTGTGTTGATAAAAAGTGTCCTCCAAGCTTTGCTAATCTACACTCTTTCTGCTATGACCCCTCCCAAAAGTTCGCTTAAACTTATTGAAAAAAAACCTTGCTAGTTTTTTTTAGGGTACCAATAAGTTTGTATTAGAAGTACCACTGGAGCTATTGGGAAAATCTTTGTATTCCTAATGATGAAGGGGGCATTGGTATTAGAAAGATGGAGGACATCAGTGATACTTTGGCTACTAAAAGATGGTGGAGACTTAGGTCTATGTCATCTCTTTGGGCTACCTTTGTGAAACACAAATATCGCATTAGATCTACTAGAGTTTGGGCATAAGGTAACTCTCATGCTTGGAAAATATGCTAAAGGTGAGGCAAAATGCAGAAAAGCACATGAGTTGGCAAGTTAACTCTGGAACTAGTAGTTTTTGGTGGGATAATTGGTCGGGCAAAGGCCCTCTAGCGGATCTGGTTCCAAACCGTAACACGAACTCCATAATCCTTGTTCAAGATTTTACTATCAATGGCACATGGATTATGTACAAGCTGATGGAATTTTTACCTGGCCGTATACCCCAACATATTTCTACTGTAGACATTGGTAATCAGGATAGAGAGGATCAACTCTACTGGGATCTCACGGAAAGTGGCAAATACTCCAACAAAACTGCATGGCAAATGGTAAGATTGTGGGGCCAAATCAAAACAAAAAAAACAAAAAACAAAAAGCAATTAAAAAAGAGGAAGAAGATAACAACAAGTTGCAATGGCAACTTGTTGCAATAACGGCTGAAACAAGAACCAAGTTGCAACAAGTTGCCAAAACTTGTTTTGGCCGGTTACAAATTGCAATGCAAATTGCAAAGAAACCATTCTGATTGGTCCAATAGTTGGCAAGTTTTGCTATAAATAGCAGGCCTCGTTCCTCATTTCAGACACGCCAAATCGAGAGAAGCAGCAGAGAGTTAGAGAGAGTAATCCACAGATTGTAGTTTGTGAGATAAATAGTGAGTGGGAGTAATATTGTAGAGAGGTGTTTAAAATAAAGAGTGTTATTTCTTTCGAAGTTGTAGTAGTCTCTTGACACTACTAAGTTGTAACATTATAGTGGTAATATTGCTCCGCTGGGGTGTTGTATTTTATCCCATTAAAATATTTGGTGTCGTTGTTACTCTCTTCTGTTATTATTATTTGCGGTGGGTATTATTCCTGAGCGGGATATTATTTTTTTTATCCCAACAACGTGGTATCAGAGCCATGGCGAGTAATGGTCCGCTGTCTTTTCAGTATCCCCGTCTCACAAAAGATCATTATGAGAAATGGTGTCTACGTATGAAAGCCATTCTTGGCTCCCAGGATGTGTGAGAAATCGTAGATAGAGGGTATGCAAAAACCGATAATGAGGAAGCTCTGCCTCAAAATGAAAAAGATATCTTGGCAAAGACAAGGAAGAAGGATCAACAAGCCCTCACGCTCATCCACCAATGTTTGGATGATGCCATGTTTGAGAAGGTGGCAGATGCTACCGCCTCAAAGGAAGCTTGGGAGATTTTACAAAATTCTCTTCAAGGAGTTGACAAGATGAGGAAGGTAAAACTTCAAACTCTAAGGGCTGATTTTGAAGTTTTAAAAATGAAAGAATCCGAATGCATTTCGGATTATTATTCAAAAGTGAAGGCTGTTGTGAATCAATTAAGAAGATACGGGGAGGACATAAAAGATGTCCGTGTGGTAGAAAAGATCCTTCGCACTTTAACACCTAAATTCTATTTTGTGGTGTGTGCTATTGAAGAGTCTAAAGATTTAGACTCAATGATGGTGGAGCAATTGGAGGGTTCTTTACAGGCCCATGAAGAAAAGATCAAGAGGAGACAAGAAGTGCCATTGGAGCAACTTCTTAAAACTCAGGCATCCTTCAAGGATTATGGAGGTGAAAAAAGCTATCAAGGGAATGGACGAGGACGAGGCCGTGGCGGTCATGGACGAGGAAGAAGTAATGGTAACAACTTCAACAATGAAATTAAAATCCACCAA